TTTTGCTCGCTTGTGTGCATGGGGTGGAACTTGTGTGACATAATTGTCCTGATGAGTCACTGGTGTATCTCCTCCTAGTGTAGAGCATAATGAGGGCGTGACTCAACATGTTCTCCCATGCTACTCTTTGTGTGCCTTCAAGCAATCGACAAATAAACGTGTTTCTAATATGTGTCCATGACATTATGTATATGAATGTGTAATCGTGTGATGAATCGTATTGTAACTCAATGATTGATATGTTATACCTTGTTAGTGCTTTGTATTGTTATTGTTGTATCTTGTTATTATTATAATCTATATATATCTTGATGAGGTATGTGTGACTATTCGATTATGTTTCATACTATGAGGTAAAGTGAGATTCTTTTTAATCCCCGTTTCTTGTTCTATGTTTTGTGTGTATGTTGTTATAGGTGAGGGTCATCATATTGTTAATGATGTTATAGACAAGAGTTGACCTTGTGATGAGTTTATGCTTCGATAGGATATGACATCGGAACATAATTAGGATTTGATTTTATGATGTTTAGGATATGATGTTAGATTTCTTTTGATGTTATTTATTTTCATTAGACACTCATGTTAGAGTCACGTTTTGATATAGTTTTTTTATTTTTATTTTTTTATATATATGTTATATCCCTCTTATAGACTTGATTTTATTCATTTGATTTTCTATTCATAAGTCCCTTTAAAATAATTTATTCTTATGCTTATTGTTACATACGATGTAGAGAATATGACACATGGTAAAACTTGTTTCTATATATTTAATTTTTTGTATTTTTTTCACCCTTTTACCCAGAAAAAAATAAATAATGGAAGGTAGGGGTAGAAAAACCCTTGGATGGGAGCAAAGATGAATGGCCAAATTGTAGTTTGAGAGAAAATTGGGCAAAGGTGAGTATGATTTAAAAAGTCGGGGTGGGGTGGGAAACGTAAAATCTGCCTCTACCCGTTGCCTTGCCTAATTTTGACTTGGGTGGAAAGAGTTTTCTCACATGTAATGCCACAAGACAACAATTTTTGTCTAGTTTTTCTTTTTCTACCACTACCACTCTTTTTCTTCTTTTTTTGGTAAACAAATAAAATAAAATAAAATACCGTGACAAATGCATAATTCTCTTGAATGCATCTAATTTGTGTAAATCCCTTAAAGATTACAAGCTCAAATAATGGGCTACATATTAGAATGCCTGTTAGGAGGAACTAGATTGCCATTTGATTACTGAAAAAGCTAACCAATTCAAGTTTAATAATTCTATTTTTCTTATTTATTTAAAATAATTATTAAGATATTTAATAAATAATAAATTCAGTTTAAACTAAAACATTTCATTCATTATTATGAATGTACCATAACATTCTTTATCTTAACAGTAATTTTAATACGAGTTAATCATCCCTACACTGTCGATGTAAAGTTTTTTTACACTGGTAACCAATCATATATTTTAAAGTTGCTTCTTTTATTATTATTTTATTAAATAAGCAACTGACATGTACTATTAAAAGATATGATTGGTTATCCGTGTAAATTTTTTTTACACTGACAGTGTATATAAGTGATTAACTCTTCTAATATATTATCAAACTACAACATAACATCCCCAAACTCCTATCGCTCATGATTTGCATCAGGCAATTCTTCCAATTTCTCCTATGAACTTCTTGCACAGTAAAATCCCTAAAATGTAGGGATTTTAAAACTTTAAAAGTTTAGACATTTAATTTCGATTTAAGTAAAATAAATATCATAAAATAATAAAAAATAATTCATACAAAAAACAAGTCATATTATGTATTATACATTTATACAATGTAGATTTTGACTCAAAAATATTTTTAAAAACTATTTTGACTTATTACTTCATGCAGATTTTTTTTAAGTGCTTAACATCATTTTGTCTAGTAATTTGATAATATCCCATTAAATACGAATAAGTAGACAAATGTTAGAGTGATAGTACACTAAACAGACTACCATAACACAAAATCAATAAAAATTGGCCATATATGGAATTTTTTATGCCTCGATTTATATCCATTATGTTGAAATCCCTTTTATGATTGATTGTTCTTGGTAGTAAACTTTTGAAAAACTACATTAGATAATGGACATCACTATTAATCTACCACTTCAAGAATTCAAGCTCAATCAAATTGTTCAAACACAATTCAAACAATTTTCATAGCAAAATCTAATCATAAACCATCAACTACTTAAAGGTTCAACTTTAAAACATCAAATTTATCAATAAGTCCAATTAAAAAACTAAATTATCTAATTTAAGGTCCTATGAATTAAAATAACTAAAACCAACTCTAAACCCAAATCTAAATTAAGTTTTATAATTGAAATTAAATGTTATAATTTATACCTATTTCTCCAAACTTGCTAGTTTTCTCCTAATTTCATTGATTTCTTCTTTTCCTACTTCTTATCTTTCTCCTATCTCCTTCCTTGCTTACTCTATTCTTGAAATTTTAGTTGTTTCCTCATGGTTTTCCTCCTTGGCCATGACAAGATGAATTATTTTTGGTTGTTTCTTTGACTTGGTTTATGTCTTGGTGTTAAGGATTGTTAGATGAGCTATTTAGTGTGGTTTCTCCCTTTTATACTAATCTCTAACTCCATTTTCAAATCTTCTAGATTGATAAATTTTCTTGATCTTTCTTAAGCCATTTTAATCACATAGTGATTAAGAGTTCATTTTGTAGAATTATTTAACTATCATAATCATCAAGCTTCCTATCCATTTAATCACATGGTAATTGGGTGTCTAGATATTTTATAAAATTTTATAGAATTTTGTAAAATAATTTAATATAAAATTTTGAAGAATTATCATAGAGTTAATCAATACAAAAATGTATTCATTTGTCATTATAATTTGGTATACACTTGAGCGTGGTAGGATAAGGAAATTTTCTAGAATTATCTTAGTTGATACAAAATTTGGAAAATGTATTCATTTGTCATTATAATTTGGCATACACTTGACCGAGTCAGGATGGGCTATGGGGAATTTGGATCATAAAAATAGTTGGTCTTGCTCCTGTACCTTAGATTTTAGGTAACTTCATTTGGTACACTTGAGATGAAAACTTATATATTTAGTCCTATTTATTCATATTTCTTTAATCATTAATTAACGAGTGTAGTAAAAAGATTGATTATTTAATAAAGGATAAATTATAACATTAAAATAATAAATAATTAAAAATAATGAGTGTTGGTGGGATACCCTCTCTAAAGAAATTCCCTAGCATTTAGGAGAAAGTTAAGTAATTGAAATTAGATGAATTTGTTTACAATTCAGAACTATGTAGTAATTTTCTAAGTGAATATATGTTGATAGCTTCAACATATCTTTGTTCAAAGAAGAAATATCTTATTGGGACATGGTTAGCTTATACTATTATCAGGTATATAATAACTTTTACCTTATTAACTTTATATAAAATAATATTTTATGTAAAAATGAAAATAATCTCTTACAACTATATATTAAAATAAAGATTGTTATATTTTTCATGTAATTGTTAAAAAACTTTAATGGTGTAGTAGTTAGGCTTGTTTTAAGTTATCTATACGAGCAAGGTTTAATCTGTGGTGAGACTTATTTTTAAATTTTGCACTGGGTTAATAATTGAAGGACTGCAGTTTTTTTTTTCCTAATTTGTGAAATAATACGAATTGTTTCACCTTAAATATGATTTTTAAAATCAAAATTACCAGTTTTATCATTTGTTAGATAATATCATAAAAAGTCTTTATATTATTTTATAAATGCATTTTAATTAAATTTATGTGTATGATTAATCAATTACCGACAACTGTTTTAACTAGCGGGAACAAATCTATTCACAAAGTAGTTATTCCCACTATTTTTTTTATAAAGATAAGAAAGATTACAGAGATGGTCGCAATGAGAATTGAACCTAGGTTCTACCCTAATCCCTCCTCACCCAACCACTAGGCTAACTCTAGTGATTTAACTTTTTTTTATCATCGTGAGTATAATGCATATTTATGATTTAATTATTTTTATAATTTAAATTATGGTGAATTAATTTATATTATGAATATTGACTCCAATAATTTATTTTATTTCTATTATTTTTATTTTCTTAATTATATTTTTTGGTCAACTATAATATTGACATGAAATATATACTTCCAAAAATAACGGCTACTAAGTTAGAAATACAAATTGAGTATTCTTTCCTACATAGTTTTTTTTTATGTTTAAAGTCAAAATTTGAATCTTAAATAATTTATTTAAATGATACAAATTGTTATTATTTGTATCAAACTAATATTAGTATTCTCTCTCTAGACTGTTAACAAGTGATTATTTATGCCGAAAAATACTAAAAATCGTCTAAATAGCATCATAAAACAAGAAATGAAAGACCACTGCAATGAAATCCACCTATAACATTATGGTTCACAAGTTCCAATTTTATCAATTGAATCAACCTTGTTAGCAATTAGTTTATTATTTATTGTTTGTCATAACTATTTTTGTGTCAAAAAAGAAAAATATTTTCTGTTTCAAAATGGTTCAAAAATTTCATCATAATAAAACAAAGTGATTTTGGACTACATCAACCGCAAGACTTTTGAACTAGATGATTTGGGTTGTTCATAGATTAGATTTTAAAAATGCAAGTTGAATTGAATTAATCTATTTTATAAAATGGTTTGGTTAATCTTGTGATTTAGATTGAATTGATTTTAAAAAAACTAATCAATTTTTCATATATAAATTGGTTTGGTTTGATTATCTTCTACTTATATATGTTTTTATTTTTTTCAAAATCGAATCAAATTGATCTAATTTGTAAAATCGGATCAAATATTAATTATAATCATAATCTGGATCGATTTTTATTGGTTTAAATTTCTTTTTCACACAAATCTTATAGTTATTTCAAATAAAGAGGAAAAGAGACCCATACATCCAAAAGCATTCTTGACAATGTAAAGGTATTACTAAAGCATATAAACATATTAAATATGAAAGGAAAAAAATGCTTTTGTTAACTTTGTGACAAGGGATATTTGTTGAATGCTGTAGTTTTGTAGCCAAGACCATAGCAACCCAAAGCCAAATTGCAAATAGTCTTCCGATGAATTTTCCTAGCTTTGCCTTTTAATTTTATTGTAGTTGATGACTCTTTATATTGGCGTCTTCAGCAATTACTGAATCGTAAGAACACGCAAAAGATAAATATGCAGTTAATTAAATAGACAGCAAAGAGTAATTATTAGAAAGATGAGACATCCCTAAATAATATTATATGTGATAATCATGCCATTGTTTGTCTTAATGATTAATTCATCTGCATTTCATTGTAGTTTTACCTAGACTTTTATCATATAATTGCAAAATGATTGGTGATGATTTAGCATATAAAATGAAAGAGATAACAAATAAGAAGTTAAGTGAAAGACAAATCTTAGATATATTGTGTGTTTGGAGTGATTCTTTAATAAAAATTGGAGTTTTATCTTAATGATTTATGTTGATCTTTCATGCAAATCATGATTATACAGACTATCGAATTAACTTTAATTGAAAAACAATACTTAACAAAATAAGTTCCAAGTTTTGTCCTTAAAGGAACATTACCCTAAACTATGTATGTGAAACTGAATACTTGAAAGAGAAATTAGAATACTAACCTCAGGTCATTATGTTTTGATATTTGTAACATACTTGAGTAGCATGTCAACCACTTCTGTTGTGACCTTTGAAGTTGATTTCTTTAAAGTTTTAATCTTAGCCTCTGTCTCCTCCTCAAGCCTTTTTACATTAGATCCAGAACTCCCAGTGGTCTAAGGAAACCCAACCAAATACCAAAGCATACATAGAAATATTGTGATCCAATGAAAACATGTTATATTTGAATGTTGATCTATAATACCAAAGACATCATTTTATACCTCTGAAATTGACTTTTGATACTCTTCTTCCATGTGAGTTCTGTATTGTGCTGCCTCCTTCTCTGCCTCATCCTTTGCCTGCTTCAACCTGTGAGTCCTTACTGAAAAGTTGAACATAACGTTCGTTTTCATCATTCATATTCAATAATGATAGGTTTATATATCTTTTTATCGGTAGAAATTACAATGACAACAATCTATAATCATGTGAATATTATATAATCTTCTACTATTAAATCTATCCTAGTAAAACATTAGGGCCTTACAATTTCTTGCACTAGAAACAATATGTTGGGCTTCTTGTTCAGCAGTTAGTAGCATCTGAATGCCTCCTTGTCCTTTGAATGGATCCATGGTAACTGTGTATCAACAAAATCAACATTCAAGGAACCTATAATGATTGTGAGATTCAACTTGGATAGTTTGATCATCATCAACATTAATTTAATTCTCATATAAAATGAGAAAATAGTTGGGAGAAACATAACATCAATTTCTTACCAAAACAAAGGAAACTATTCAAAAATCTTGGTGTATGAGGGAGAACTTTTATGTCATTTGGTGGTGATTATTGTTCTCATAATAACATTCCGAAAGTAATGGGAATAGTTTTGTTATGTACCAAGTCAATCTGCGCAGTTTGTGTTGTTGCAACTGTAAAATGGTTTGTTACAAATATACAAATGTCAAAATAATTAACTAAAGGATTTAAAATTTACTTGTTAATTTTGAAAAACTACTTAAATATGAGTAGTTTATTATATTAATTAGTTGAGGACAAAATTATAAACAAACTCCTCAATCAGGGATAATTTGTATTTTTTATTGGGAAAAACCCAAGTCCCACATTGACTAGAGATTAGACAATTGAATAGTATATAAGTGGAAAATAACCCTTACCTGACAAGCTACTTTTGTATGGTTGAGTTAGGCTTAATCCATTATTCTAAGATGGTATCAGATCTATCCTAGATTCTTAAAAATGGGTCACCAACTATTGATACATGTACCATAAATCATTAAAAAAAGTCATTTATCCACATACCAAGCCCACCAAGCCCAATAACCCTGGACTTGAGGGGGGTGTATTGGGAAAAACCCAAAGATTAAACAATCGAATAGTATATAAGTGGAAAACAACCTTTACCTTATAAGTCAGTTTTGTATGGTTGAGTTAAACTTAATCCACTATTGTAAGATTTTTTTGTTTTTGTTTTTTTTAAATGACAAGATTGGTATTTTAATTTTTTATAAAATTAAATTAAATGTTTATATAAAAATTATAAATACATGAAAATCTATTTGACTAATTTTAGGAGTTTAACATTTCTTTTAAGTCCCCCAATCCTAGTGGGGAAGTTACGTTTCTTATATGTACTGCTAAAAATGGGGAAGTGTCATTCATTTGTCTCCGCAAATATTTTATAAGTTTCATTTTTTGTGTCCAAAGGCATCTACCATCTTTTATTTATGCAACAAACTATTACTAAACATTAACAAAATCTTTTTAAATTTTTTTTACTCAATATAACGTCATTATTGCATGCGTGCACACCGTAATTAAGATTTTTTAGTATTTTTATTTTAATTAATAGAGTTATATTAATAATTATTTTAATTATTTAACATGTTTTAGAATATTATATAAGATATTTTAATTAAATATTTTAATTAAATATTTTATTTTAATTAAATTAAGAGAAAAGAGAATTAGTAACTAGGTTAAATGTTTTAACTGAAAACAGTATTTAGATTTTTAAAAGAACAATCTTTTGATCAAATTTTTTTATGTTTTTATTTTATATTCACTTCAAAACTCAAAAGAATAAGAGCAAAAAAGAAATTACTCCAAAGTCTTACATTCATCTTTTTTTGTTTAGCGGGATAAGGAGAATGAGAAGTCTTGTTCCAGATATAAAATTGTATGTTAGATAGTTAGATTGGTTACCAATCTTATATATATTATATGAGGGATTTTTTCCATATTAAAATACTATATAAGACTGATTTTATTTAAATGAATATAAAGGGACAATTTGAAGACTAAAAAGAAAATATAAGATTTTTATGACATAAAAAACACCAAAAACTTTAATGATTTTTTTTAATTATATTTTCACGACTTACATAGTTACATATAAGAAAATCACAATTCCAAGCTTTTTTCACTCTTTTAAGAACACTCATTATTTTTTGAAACATACTTGGCACATGAAGCATTACCATTTACTTTGTTCACAAATGCTTTTTTTTTTTCCTTCTCATATTTATCGAAAAGAAAATTAATGTATAGATAAATTAGTTGGTTTTGAATTAAAACATAGGACTATTTATATGGTGGTCTATTTTGCATTTTTTTATTTGAGAGATTTTTTTTTGAAAATTGTCGTAGTTTACGTTCATTTTATTTTTGTTAATTTCTTTGTGAGTTTTGATCTAGTTTCTCGTGTTTTGGTTTTTGTTTTTTTTTTCTATTTTTTATATACTTTTTAGAGTATTACAAATGATTGGTAGATTATGGAGTATCAACTTTGTTGGGATGCCTCAGTCATATAATCTATATTTAAAATTTGTTTTTATTCTTTAAATTATCAAAAATTATTATTTTGGTTCCTTAAATTTAAAATTTATGTTTTTAATTCTTATAATTTTATAAAATATTGTTTTAATCCCTTATAAAATAGTATAAGTTATTGTTTTAAATTCTAGTTATCAACTCTTAGGAAACTTTCTTAGGAAACTTTATTGCTAACACATCTTATGCTTCAATTTAATGTCTTATTTTTCGATATAATGTCATTTTTGCTTGTCAAACAAAATTCTCTCATGGAATATGATCACTAATAAAATAACTGAACTTGGGAACTAAAATAATAATTTTTAATATTTAAAAAATTATAAGTTTTAAACTTGAAAGATAAAAAATATAGTGACTAAGATAATATTTTCTAAAATTATAAAAATTAATGATACAAATTTTAAATTTAAGAGACTTAAAAAGTATATATATCCTAAAAAAATATTTAAAGTTGAACTTTAAAACTGTGTACAAATGTTGACACGGATAAATAAAACGAAATCAATCATGATTATTGAATTGTGAATATAAACCCTTTATTGTACTTTATATGTGATTTATACTAAATTTCTTTTAGTCAAGTTTTCTTTTAAAAATAGCTTAAATATAGAAATTTTGATAAAAAATAAATTAATTCATATATATATATATATATATATTATATACATTAACTATTTTTTCATTTCAAATAAATGTTAATATATAATTAAAATTTATAATCAACTATAAATTATATTATAATTTAAATTCGTAATACATAAATATCATTGAATGTATAAATTATATTTAGAGTTTATTATAAATAATTTATATTGCGATGTAATATTATTTTTATTATTGATACTTTTTAAAATATTAAGATT